CACTGTAAATTAAAGGCCAGCCTGAACTAAACAATGTAACCCTATCTCAATAACACAACAACAGAATGTCACCTACTTGTGAAAAGAATTGTGTTCACAGCCCTGTTCTGCATATATCAGAAACCAAACTAATAACCTGAAGAGTGGATCTCTAGAACATTCTTTGAAGATATATTCACTGATAGTAAAGTCAGTCCTATAGAAACATGAGATGTTAAGTGAATAGCTGTCGTGCGTGCGCTCGTGTGCTCTTTACCTGCACTTTGCTGTGTGCTACTTAAATGCAATCCCAAGTCCTCCCTGACACAGACTCATGTGTCAGTCCTTACAGTAAGCATGGCCTCTTCATCCCTTCCTTCCTTCCTTCCTTCCTTCCTTCCTTCCTTCCTTCCTTCCTTCCTTCCCTTCTTCCCTCCCTCCCTTCCTTCTTTCCTTTTTTTCTTTTTTGTTTTGTTTTTCTGAGACAGGATTTCTCTGTGTAGCTAGTTCTGGAACCTAGAACTAGCTTCGTAGACCAGGTTGACCTCAAACTCAGAGATCCATCTGCCTCAGCCTCTCACGTGCTGGGGTTAAAGGTATGCACCAACACATCTAGCTTAAGGTGGATTTTCAGTCACTTGCAATTAAAAAAAAGAAGCAGCATTGTCTTTGGGGGTGGTGATATTTCCCTTAATACATGCTCCATTTCAGTGACAGGTATGCACCAAGCTTGCATGAACTCGGGCACTTTAATGTCCCAGCCCTCTCGGACCCTGCAGGCCTGCAGTCATTCATGAGAACCAAAGCCCAGCAGGCAAGAGAGAACATGACAAGGAGGGAGAAGTAAGTATCGACCGCCTCTAGGAGGCTCAAGACCCACTTTATTCATGAGGCCTGACTTCACGCAGATAATAGACAGCATGGCCTGCATGTTAGCTGTTTTGTTCACGTGTAGGTGTGTTGGTATCAGTGGGGACAAAGAGGGCAATTGGACCACCCCCCCCCCAAAGCTGCAGTTACAGGCAATTGTGAGCCACCATGTGGGTGCTGGGATTTGAACTTGCATCTGGAAGAGCCACTAGGGCTAAAAAGGACTGACCCATCTCTCTAGCCCTGTTATATTTAAATTTAAAGTGTAGATGGCTGTAGTTCATAAGTAGTCCTGTTTCCACGTTGTTTGTACTTTGAACCACTTGACAGCCAGTGGTTTCTTTCTTACAGGTTTGATGCTGTAGTATTGCATCCAGTGTAGAAGAGAAACGGTAGGAGTGGGTCCATATGACAGGATGGGCAGATGGATGGACAGCAGGTCCAGACCGATGAGCAAGGAGGGCTGAGCAGCTTAGGGCAAGCACAGCCCGACCTCAGTATCCCAGTAAGGATAGATAGATAGATAGATAATCAGTTTCTTCATTCAGTCACTAGCTGTGGCTAAGGGAGATGTATAAAAGTTTTAAACTATGTATTATTGGTTTGGAGAGATGACTCAGTGGTTAAGAGCACTGACTGCTCTTCCAGAGGACTCACGTTTGATTTCTAGTACCCAAATGGTGGCTCACAACCATCTGCAACTCCAGTTCCAGGATTCCACCACTTCTGGTGTCTGAGGGCACCTAGCACACAGGTGGTGCACAGACATACATGTAGATAAAACACCCAAAACATTAAAAATAATAAATCTTTGAAAATTAGGAAAAAGTTGCATATTGTTTTTACCTCTCTGATGCTAAAAGGATTGACTGAATACTTGAAGAGTGAAAATCAGCCAGCTAGTCCTGGGCTCAAGGTGACTCTTGACACGGCTTGTCACTTGACTGTCGTGTATGGTCAGTGTGCCATCACCCCAGCATTTAAAAATATGTTTATATTCTGTCTTCTAGTTAGTAATAACTTATGGTAGCTTTTTTATTTAATAGGTTAAAAGTTATTGAAAATGAATTGATACAGGCTTCAACAAAGAAATTTTCTCTGGAGAAGTTGTATAAAGAACCCAGCATTTCTAGTAGACAGATGGTAGACTGCTGTAAGAGACTTCTGGAACAGTCACTGCCTTATCTACACGGGATGCACCTCTGTGTCTCACATTTCTACTCGGTCATGCAAGATGGAGACCTGTGCATCCCGTGGAACTGGAAGAAAGGAGAAGCCATGAAGTAACACAGATATCTGTTTTATTTTCTGAAGAAATGAAAAACTGTTGAATTTATTTAAATTCAGTTTGATATAACATTAGTATTTACATGTTAGAACTAAGTGTCTAACTGCTGCTATCAAAGTGGGGTGGGCTTTCTTTTTAGTGATTTTATGCTAAGAAACTTGTTTTTAAAAGGTTTTATCCCCCTAGACTTATGATGCTGATGGCTAGGCAAAAGATACTAGAAGGAAAAAAAACTATTTTAAAGATATGCAGTAGAAGGTTCTTTAGGAGTCATATATATTTTTTTATATAGTGAATGTGAGTGTATGTAAATTGGCCTCACTCAGTATAGCTCTTTAGGGCTGGAACTCAGTTTTTACATGCAACAACGTTTAATTTGCACCTACATAGTTACACCTCACAGACATACACACTCTGTAGCCAGTAATAGACAGTGATTCCACACAGATGACTGACGAATAGCAAAAATTAAATAACCAAAATTTTGCCTAAGAGAAAGAATTTTTTTTAAAAAACCCTATTGAATATATACTATTAACAGTGTCTTATACGAGTTTACTAAAACATCAGTGACAGAATTTAAATACATGATTTCTTCTACCAGTTAAAATATCGGTAGAGCACATTTTCAGTAGGTACAGGCATCCCCAAGATGAATAAGATGTCATATTATAACCTAGCCTGAAACTCCTTAAAAAGCTTTCGTCATTTCTTCAGCCCTGGCCAGGCAGAGCCTTGTGCTATGGCTCGTTCTCAGAAGCATGGCCTCCTGTGGTCTCAGGTGTCTCCTGCACAATGAGAGGCCTGCTCTCTGTTCAGAGCAGACCCACAGTGCATTAAAACAAAGATGCTAAAATCAGTTTTTCATGGTTTGGGTTTTTACGAAACATCAGTAATTTAAACAGTTCAAATTTATGTTCAAAATAAGAAGTGATTTATAAAAGGATTGTGTGTGCCATTTGTGGCTTTTGACCCATGCTGATGTGACGAGTGTTGTGGTAAATATTCTCTATAAGAAACAGTCCTTAAGTAGATTTGGTGGCACACATCTTTAATCCCAGCTCTTGGGAAGCAGAGGCAGGTGGATCTCTGTGAGTTTAAGGCCAGCCTGGTCTATAAAGTGAGTTCCAGGACAGCCAGGGATGTTAAACACAGAGAAACTCTGTCTGGGGGGGTGGGGAGAGGTGGTGTCAAACATGAAATTTATTAGAAAATTGCTTGGATTGTGCCATGTCTAAATATCAACTAACATGGAATCTTCTATAATGTGTGTTGCATTGGATTGTCTCAGAACTGACTGTTATATAATAAACTATGCGTTGGCCACCGCACAGCTGCTCTGTGTTCCAGCCGTTGAGTCTCGTGACTTCAGTGGTAGGAAGTTATTGGACGTGATCCTTCGAACTTCACTGCAGATGTATGTCCTCTCTCCACCACAGACGGGCAGGTGAAGCCTCTGATACAAAATGGTCTCCAGAGGAATCTGAGCTCTGCTCATATCTGAGCTGCCCCCCATCCCGTCCAAAGAGAGCTGGGGCAACACAACGTCCTTAACTCCAGAGCTGTGTCTGTTCTCAGCAGGGCTGCCAGAGCCTGCCTGCCCTTCCTTTCTTTAGTCTCTACGTAAACTTCCTATTTCCTCTGGAGGAGTGTTTTCAGTCCGTGTTGACACCTTGTAAAACACAGCTGCATCCAATCAAGAACCAATGTAACCATTATCTCCCCAAAGCCTTTAATGTCTCTACAGACCAATAAACACATCTAAACATGCCTCTCTGTCTTTGTTAGCTAACCTAAAGCTCTTCCTAGCTGGCTACAATTGCACCTGCCTATCCACCTCCTCATGAGTCAGGAGAAAAAGAATGGGAAAGATTTGACCCTCCACAGAAGTTTTCCTCATTTTATGCTGAAGCCATCCTGGGAGTGGGAACGGGTGCTATGGCGTCAGCAGGTTGCTGGGCATGCTGCCAATAATTTGGCTGGGATCCTTTTGCTCTACTAGGAGAGGCTCTTCCAGAGCTGGTCATCAGCAACCTCTGTAACCCTCCGTTCTAGCAGCAGGTAACAAGAACCAAGCCAAATTCCAGCCTTCACAACACTTCCTTGTCTAGAGTCTTCATCACACACAAGAGGTACAGGAAGGTATGTTCAAGAATGGCTCAGTGGTTAAGAACATTAGCTGTTCTTCTAGAGAACCAGGGTTCGATTCCCAGCACCTACATGGTTGCTTATATCAAGAGGATATGACACTATTCTTGCCTTTGTGAGCACCAGGCACAGCTATGGTACATAGATAGATGGGGGTGGGGGGGAAGAGGGGATAGACATGCAGTCAAAACATGCATGCACGTTAAAACAGTAAAGCTGGGAATCCCAGCCCTGGGAGGCAGAGGCAGGTGACCTGCTCTACATAGTGAGAATGGTGAGAGAGACTGAGGTGCCACCTTTCAAGGAACTCAGACATGAGGACTTGTCCTAGGCTCGAGCTGGAAGACAGTAGGGACACTATAAGCACAGGCCTGAAGCCTGAAAAACAACTTTCTGCCGGTTTCCACTCCAAACGCCTGGCTGTGCCCAGCGTCCAGCAAGTGGGTCGCACTCACTCTGGCCTGTTCTCATGGACCCAAGGCCTGCTTCTGTCCCACAGATGATTTGACTCCAACACCAAAACTGCCGTATTTACCCTCAGAGTGTCAAGACAGCTTACGAGGTAAAGGAAGCCGTAGAAGGCAATCTGAAAAGTCTCAAGGAAAGTTTGTATTGAGTCTGAAAGCGTTTTTTGCAGATTCCTGTAAACTTGTGTTTCTGGGGGTGGGGCTGATGCAGATGTAGATGGACGACCACCCTCTTGGCACTCCCTAGCTCAAAAGGAAAACCGGTTGTTTCCTGTCAGCATATTCCTAAGCTTGCAGGACAGGGCCCAGGGCGCAGAAGGGCTGGCTGGAAGCATCGTGGCCAGAGGAGGGGACGCTGCCAGGTAGTGTTGCCTCGGCAGAGCGCTCCCTGGTGGGGACAGGACACGGGGCACAGCCAGGTCGGGTAGAATCAAGCTTCCCATCCCGAGCCCTCTGCCCGGAGCCTCGGGGTTCCCTGGGGAACCGGGTCTGTGAACAGCCGCCGCGCAGGGCACGCTCCCTCGCGGAGACCCGGACCTTGCCCGACTCTTCTCTCCGGAGGCTGCAGGCGTGGTCTCCTCCCCTAGAGGGAAGGTGATTTCTCCAGTGATCTCGTTTACCCAGACAAAAGAATCTAGAGATTTCTTCTCCTGTTCAAGCTGACTCCTAGACATATCTAAAACGGAGAAAACGGGATCAGGTGGCGCAGGTAAAAAGCTGCTCTTAACTTTTGCTTAGTCTTTTCCGATTTTTTTTTTCCCAGACAGGGTCTCTGAATATCCCTGGCTGTCCTGGAGCTCCCTGTGTAGACCAGACTGGCCTCCAACTCTCAGATCTGCCTGCCTCTTCCTCCCAAGTGCTGGAATTAAAGTTGTGTGCCACCATGCCCAGATTCATTTTCCTGATGAATGATATAGAGGGGTTCTGGGATGCCAACACTCCTCCATGACCTCTACTTCGGGGTTCCTGCCTTGAGTTTCTACACTTGACTTCCCTTAGTGATGGAGTGTGACCCGAAAGTTGTAAGCTGAAATAAATCCTTTCCTCCCCAAGTTGCTTTTGGTTATTGTGTTTTATCACAGCAATAGGAAACTAAATAAGATGTATGGATGTACTGAACATACACAGATGTTTCCTGTTGCTCGCTGAGCTCTGCATCATTTACATGACACTGTGCTTTAGAGATGACTTTAAGTATTCGAGAAGGAGCCGGGCAGTGGTGGCGCATGCCTTTAATCCCGCACTTGGGAGTCAGAGGAAGTCGGATTTCTAAATTTGAGGCCACGAGGCCAGCCTGCTCTACCGAGTGAGTTCCAGGACAGCCAGGGCTACACAGAGAAACCCTGTCTCGAAAAACCAAAAAAAAAAAAAAAAGTATTCAAGAAGGTGAGAGTACACTGGATGTAAACACCATCCCATTTCATGCTGAGACTCTGAGCATATACACACTCAGTGTTGGCTGCACTTTCTGGTACCAATCCCAGGAAGGAAGGACAAGTGTACACTCAGCATATCTTACCTATTTTCCTGACTCAGTTATCTATGTATGTGTTAACAATTTAAATGGAAGGTAAATGATTAAATTTCTAATATTTTCTACACAATAAATTCTGTTATATTCTTTGAACAGGTTCAGAAACAGTTTGACATGAAAAATATGGCACGGAGCGAAGACAGAAACAGTGTCATGGACATGCCTACAATCCCAGGATTCAAAGGGCTGAGGCTGGAGTTGAGAACAGCTTGGGCTACATAGTGAGTTCAAGACTACCAACCAAGGCAGGCCCTCCCATCGAACCCATCGCACCCATCGCACCCATCCCCCACATCGCACCCCATGCCCATTGCTTTTGCTAGATTTTATAAGACATGCTCATTTATAACAAGCAAAGTGGCACATAAAAAATGACCACGCATTTGGACCCTGTAACTAAGTTCCTTACATGACAAAAGTGGTTCTGTCATGGTTGAATATGCTTTGCCCGGTGAGTGGCATTATTAGAAGGTGTGGCCTTGTTGGAGTAGGTGTGACACTGTGGGTATGGGCTTTAAGACCCTCATCCTAGCTGCCTGGAAGTCAGTATTCTGCTAACAGCCTTCAGATGAAGATGTAGAACTCTCAGCTCCTCCTGAACCACACCTGCCTGGATGCTGCCATGCTCCCACCTTGATGATAATGGACTAAACCTCTGAACCTGTAAGCCAGCCCAATTATAAAGGTGGTCCTCATAAGAGTTGCCTTGGAAAATCTGCTGCTGACTGCCTCTGGCATCAGCGAGACCAATAAAAACTATGCCACAGCTATGTGGAAGCACCCTTTACCCTTAAAGGTAATGGCCCAGACCCAGTTCTCTTATGGGGCTGAGGATTGATATGCCTGTTTGATACCACAGAAAGCACAGCTATCTGGCTACCAAAAAGATTAGTGATATAAATAGATACCCCCACAAAGCCAGGCCCAACCATAAATAAGATGAATAACAATTGACATCCAGGGAAGAGAAATCTCCCTGAGAATTCCCTTCTTTTTCCTTTCCAGGTAAAAATGAATCACCCGTGATGTCTGCTGTTAGAAGTTCTAATCCAGATGCTAGCCTCCAAATTTATACTACTCAGACCTTCAATGGGCCATTGACAAGAACATCAAACAGTTGCTGGGCGGTGGTGGAGCACACCTTTAATCCCAGCACTTGGGAGGCAGAGGCAGGTGGATTTCTGAGTTCGAGGCCAGCCTGGTCTACAGAGTGAGTTCCAGGACAGCCAGGGCTATACAGAGAAACCCTGTCTCAAAAAAACCAAAACAGACAGTGAAACAAGGAACATCAAACAGCTAGAGATTGACATCACTAATCTGAAGAAATCCCTTGTTTCACTGTCTGAAGAGACCTTCAAAAATCGCAAAGATCCTTATTGGACTTGATTTACTCTATTACAATAGAAAAGGCTGTGTACAGCTCTTGACTGTGTACAGCCCTTAAAGAAGAATGTTGCCTTTACATAGACAAGACAGGGAGGGTTAATAGATTAGAGAAGGCCCTGAGAAAAGTCAGAGAGAGAAAGAGAAAGATGAATGCTGGTACAAGAATTGATTTTCAGCCTCTCCATGGTTGTCAACCCTACTTCCTCCCATCTTGGGACCATTAATTGGGTTATTTTTGCTTATTTCTTCTGGTCCCTGGGCCTCAAATAGGCTGACTAACTTTGTGAAACAACAGATAAATAATTTGGTAGCAAAACCTATTCAGATATATTATCATAAGTTAGCTAATAGAGGACCACGAGACTCAAGATGAGGTTGTTACTTTATACAGGGTGTTCCCAAAACCCATCTCCACCCAACCTAAAAGAGGGGACTTCCGCCCCTAGACCAAGCAGAGAGGGGCCACCCAGAACCCCCTCTGACTGGCGATCTGAATTCTTGCTTAGGCTGCGAGGCTAAGCACTGCAAGGGAATATAAATAAAAGTTAAAAATATCTCTCTGGGTTCCCTGAGGGACAAGCCTGACTGCATAGGGGTTGATGTCAAAAGTATTCTCTCTCCAGGAAAAAGACATCGGGATGGGTATGGCCCTCGTGCCTCACTGGACAACAACAGGGGGACCGCAGCCATTACAAGGTCCCCTTCAATTACTAGAGGTCATGCCTCTATCCCACCTGCCCTTCTATATTTAGAGAAGGGAGGAGATGTCAGGGGCAGCCCTGCTTATACACCGAAGGCCTAAAATCAGCCATAGGCCTAAAATCAGCAATAGGCCTGTCATACATGTATACTAACACCAAGTCTTGGGTCTCTGTGGAAAAACATTGAAACAGATGGCTATAAGCTAATGTCAACAGGCAGCTTTTGTGGAAATTTATAAGCCTGAGTAGTCATAGACCTTGTAAATAGGTAGCCTTGGCAGATAATACCAACTTAGATAAGGACAAGTGAGTCATAGGCAGAGTCATAGTGACCTGTCCCCTGAACCTTCACCCAGCTGATACCCTGTTCTGAAAGATATCTGTATTCCCCCTGAACACCCACACTCCAGTGTCATCCCCTTCCCCACGTCCTGCCTTTCTGTGTTTATAACCCCTGTGTGAATGAGTAAAAATTATGATTTGAAAAAAAAATAATAAAAAATAAGAGTTGCCTTGGTCATAGTGTCTGTGCACAGCAGTCAACCCTAACTACGACAGGATCTGGTGCCAGCGACTCAGGTTTTGCTGTGATAGGCTCAATTGACCATGCTTTTGTCTGGAAGAATGTGGATTTTGGGATTTTGGATTTGGAAAGCAGTGTAATGTTTTAAACGGGGTTTAATGGGTTATCCTAGTAGGAATATGAAATATTTTGTTGCTGAGAGTAATTTGAACTGTGCAGATCTAGCCCAAGGGGTTTCAGAGGAGTATTTCAGTGTGTGGTGTAGAGACTGTTTTTGTGGTATGTTGGTGAAGAATGTGGTTGCTTTTTGCCCTTGTCTGAAGAGTCTACCTGAGACTAAGGTAAAGAGATTTATGCTAATTGCATTGAGAAAGAAATTCTCAAGAAAGCCCAACAGAGACTTTGTTCTCTGGTTAAGTCTCATGAAGCACATTTTGAACAAGCAAAACAACTTAGAAAGGAAAAATGAAAAATAAAAAATATATGGTCCGAGTATCAAAGGGGCTCCAGGAAGTGAAGTGGGGCTGAACCGTGTGTTCTAGGAGACAGCAGGTTAAGGGAGTGGGACTTGGAGTAAGATCCCAGCCAGCTAGATCTATCTCCGGGTGTGTTGGACCACACCTTTAATCTCAGGAGACAGGCATCCAGATCTCTGAGTTCAAAGTCAATCTACAGAGCAAGTTCCAGGACAGCCAAGCTTGGGCAGTGAAGGAGTTGGGAAACAGAAAGCTGGTGACAATGTAACAGAGCAAGGGGGCCGTGTTCCAGCTCCAGCAAGCAGCAGAACTCAGCAGCTTCGGCCACGTGGCTTTGGCTTTAGAATGAAAATTAGAAGGGATTACTGGGACAATTGATGCTGGCTAGCTGAAGCTAAGAAATTAGCGGTGATTAAGAAGAGACCAGCATCACTGAGGTGAAATCTTCTGGGAAGTGTTTTCTGAGAATGTATGGAAGCTGTGTTCCAGAGACAGCCAAGGTTGTACCTCATGCTGCAGGTGGACTTGGTACTGTGTAAGAATCACCCAGGTGGTATTGGTTTTGGAGGCATGAAGAGAACATGGAGAGCAGCTGACGCTTGGCCCTGTGAGAGGCTAGGGAAGGCCATTGGTGAAAGTGCAGCCTCAGTTGTAGTTGATGGCCCAGGACTGAAGGGGTCTTGCAAAGGAGTTGAAGCTTGGCACCATGAGGAGAGCCCATGAGAGGCTATTGGTGAAGACTGGTTGCAGCAGAAGACCCCAGAGCACTGGAAATGCCAGTACCATGGGATGATCACCAAGATCAGCAGCAGCAGAGGAGTGGATCAACCTGAGCTTAGAGTGCTACAGGGGGCAGAGCTGGAGAAATGACACCAGCCCTTTGGAGGAGCCCAGAAGATCATGTGTGCATCCCAGACATTGAAACAGGAAGCTGTAACATTGAAGTTGCCTTAGAGACCCCAATTTTTCAAGATGTCAGAGCCATTTGGATATCTCCTGAGCAATGCTGCTAACAGGGAGTGGGACCAGCCCAGGAAAAGAAGTTTGTTGCAGT